ATTTAAAGCTTTTGTTTTTTTTTTTTTAATAGTATACTTTTTACTTTGGTTTCAGGTTTCAGAAAAGTGTACAGAACACAAATACATCAAAATATTGTCCACCGTGTTTGGCATACAGATACATAAATGGGTAGAGAACACAATAGTGTTCAATGCCATGTGAGTGATTTATTAATTAGAAACTTCCTACCAAATTTCATTATGTCCAAGATGCCATCAACTAGAAGGTATACTAGTACCTATCACTGAGAAAGTAAAGAGCTGAGATTGTGATGTATTATTGATTAGAAAGTACTTTTTGATTTCAGAGATGTTAAAATGTGAAAATGGTTAGTGAAATATATTACGTATCTCAGTAAAACCCAATCAAAAGTATGAAAAATACTCAATGCAGGATAGGCTAGCAAGCCTCGAAACGGTACCACACTTCACCCAGTGAGATATTGTTTGCAGGTGTCTTCTCAAGAACTTTATTCTAAATAATTTTAACTTGCATATTTTAACTCATTCTTAAGCCCTAAAGACTGACTCTTTACTGGTGGAATTTGTGGGGTTTTTTTTTTTTTGTATTTTAGGACAGGGTGTACAGCATCTCACTGCGTAGATCAGACTGATAGTGATCCACCTGTTTACAGCCTCCCAAGTGCTAGTATTACAGGCGTGCACCACCGTGCCCAGTGTCAGTTGTCATCTCGGCCTGCGCCCCGGGGGCAGGGCCAGCACGCAGGCCTGGGGATCGAACTCCCAACTCCTGCGTCTGCCTAAGCAGGCGCTTTAATCTGCTGAGCTATTTGGCCGCCCCTTTGCTGGTGGAATTATATCATAGGCAGCTGAATCTTTGAAGAAAATTTCTTTGTCATTGTTCCCTGTAGTCTACATGGTAATGAGGTGAACATCAAGTGTGACAACATTTTGGGATAGCAAAGATAACAACCGTTCTCATACAGTTCAGCCCTGCGATTAAGGGAATCAGCCCCTGAAACATTGGTGGACAGGCAAGGCTCGGGCTTTGATTATCCACGAGCTAGTTGGGTGGTTTGCAGGATGCGGCTGCTGCTGCTGCTGCTCCTGCTCCAGCCACAGGACAGCCAGTGGATTATCTGCCTGTGTGAAAGGTGGCCATGAGAATAGCAGTTTATTCACATTGGATTTCATCTGTATTAATTTCCTGAGCTAAATATAAAACAGACTGTGTCCTGAATTTAATAGAATGATTAAGTCCCACACTTCATACTTGAGGTCTAAAGGAAAATAAAACCAAAAAAGATTATGAACTTGTACACTTGATCTTAGCGGAAAAACCCAGAACTGAGATTATGAGTTTCTAATGTAAATTAAGGATATTATGATGCTTCTTTTCTCCACGGTGATATATTGTGCTATTTTATTTTAATGTTTAGTTTAACTTTCTCCACATCACCCTTTTTTATTTTTCTGGGTTTTTTATATAAACCCTAGTATCAGTCACCCCATTCAAATGGCCAGTTGATTGATACTTGATTATGACTTTGGTAGTGGTTAACTTACTACCATAGTGATGGTTCCTGTAAAAGTTTTATTTTACTACAAAACAGGGAATCACTGTATAGTTCAGGATGGTCTTGAACTAGGTAGCCCAAGCTGTCCTCAAACTCTTGGCACTACTCCTGCCTCAGCCTCCCAAGTATTTTAGTTTTCTTTGCCCCTCAGCATATACTCAGCCTGCTCCAAATTTGTGTGTTTTGCTTGTCTTATTCTGTTCTTTGTTTTTTTTCCACTTGATTCATGCTGAGAATTATAGCTTCCGTTCAATTCATTATTCTTCACCTCGTTTTCTCCCTTTTGTTCATTGTCTAGTAGAACTTTGAGGTCTGTGCCACAGTAGATAGTGCTCTTTTTAAAAAATATTTTATTTTATTTTATTTTTTTCTGTGTTTTAGGG